ATACAACCAGAGCTAAACAGGATGACCATGTCTATTCAAAAGGATTTCACTATTCTAACGATGGGACAAATACACTAGATGACATTAGAAGTTGTTGATAAACTATGCAGACAACATGAGTTCTTCTTGGACATCATGACTCAGAAAAGCAAGTTCAGCAAAGCTTGCCAGAAACCTTATTTGGAGATAAAATGCAAGAAACCCTGTTCAGGAAACTGCAAGGTGAAGAAGAAGCGGGAAAAGCCCATTTTCCGAAAAAAGAAAAAGAATTTTAAATTCTTTAAGAAAAAGAAGTTTAGAGGAAAAGCAAAAGATCAAAGGTACTTTATTTGCAAGAAAAAGGGACATTTTTCCAAGAACTGTCCCCACAAAGCTGATAGGGCCATCAAGCTCATCTCCACCCTCCATCTTGATGATAAAGATGACATAGAATCTCTATATTCTGAACAAAGTTCTGCAGACGAAGAAACTATCTTCGCTCTTAATATCTCCTCTGATGAATCTAGATCAGAATATTCCGAGGAATCAGAGACTGATACTGTTCTAGTATTCTCCTTCCAAGAAACTCATCTCATCAATGTCTCTCCTCCTCAACCTTGTCTAGAAGTTCAAATTCTTCCGTCTAAATATGAGAAAGCTATCCAAGCCATAGCCTACATTGATACTGGAGCCCAAAAATCCATGATGGATCCTGATATTCTTCCCAAAGAATTTTGGAAGAAAGAAGCCTCCTATTTCGTAGCAGCTGATGGAAAAGTTTTTAAGACTGAACTGATTACCAAAGCTCCAATTGGTATTAAATTCTTTCCAGAATGTACAGTTTGGAGTAAAGTGATTGGAAGCAAGCTTCCCAATAAAGATATCCTAATAGGCATGGACATCTTCTCCATAACAAGCAAATTTCAAATACTTCCTACAGGGATCAAGTTCAAGAGAGAATTCAAACTTTTTACAGATATACCTAGACTCTTCTCTCTCTCTAAAGCCCCTCAAGACCTTGAGGAAATAAAAAACAAGTTAGCCTCTCTGTGTGCTAACAGTCATGAAGAATTTTCTCATCCCAAACCATTATGGAAGAATTCTGAATTCTTTGTACAGTTACCCTTCAAGCTCAACGAAGATGTCAATCCAACCAAGGTCACTCACCCAGGAATGTCTCCCTCAAACCTACAGTTAGCAAGACAAGAGTGTCAGGAACTATTGAAACAAGGTCTGATCGAACCAACCCAATCTAATTGGGTCTGTCAAGCCTTCTATTTTGAAAAGAGGTCCGAAAAAATCAGAGGAAAAAAGAGGTTAGTAATTGACTACAAGCCTCTTAACTGTTTTCTTAAGGATGATAAATTTCCAATACCCAAAGTCTCATCCTTACCCACTCTGATAAAAGAAGCCCATATCTTTTCTAAGTTCGACCTCAAGTCTGGATTTTGGCAATTAGGCATTGACCCAACCGATAGATACAAAACTGCTTTTTGCATACCCAATGCCCAATACCAATGGAAAGTAATGCCTTTTGGGCTTAAAACAGCCCCATCACTATTCCAAAAAACCATGACAAAAATTTTTGAGCCCTTATTAGACAGAGCAATCATATACATTGATGATATTTTATTGTTCTCACAAAACATGAACTCCCATAAACAGTTATTAGATCAGTTTTTTGAAATAGCCCATCAATATGGGATAATGCTCTCAGAGAAAAAGATCTATCTAGCCCAAGAAGAAATTGATTTTTTGGGAATGCATTTCTGTCATGGATCTTATCAACCTCAACCTCACATCGCGGAGGAACTTCTCAACTTTCCAGATGAAAATTTAACTGTCAAGCATATCCAACAATTTCTCGGGATAATTAATTATATTAGGGAATTCATCCCTAATGTTGCCAAGAGTACGAGTCTCTTATCCAAGCTCTTAAAAAAGAATCCACCTCCATGGGGATCAGAACAGACCAGAGCCATTAAAGAACTAAAGAAAATAGCTCAAGCTCCTCCGGCTCTGAAGATTCCAAGCAACGGAAAAAGAATACTGCAGACTGATGCCAGTGATGAATACTGGGAGCAGTACTTATTGAAGAAGACAATGGAAGTAGATACTATTGTGGACATGCAAGTGAACAATTCAAGGATGCAGAGAAACACTATCACACCACTTTCAAAGAAGCATTAGCCTTCAAAAATGGGATAAAGAAATTCGACTTCCACCTTAGAGGATTTCACTTTGAGGTTCAAATGGATAACTTTTCATTCCCAAAGATCTTAGAGTTCAATAACAAAATGCCTCCTAATCCTCAGATTCTCAGGCTAATGGACTGGTTTTCCAAGTATGATTTTACTGTTAAGCACATTAAAGGAAACCAAAACACAGTCCCTGACTTTCTGTCTAGACCAAAGATGATTGTCCAATTAATAATCGACACCCATAGTCTTCCTCTTATCTTTATGGTCAAACCTCTCTCTGATAGAGCCAAAACCATCAAAGTCTATCCACCTGGTTTAAACCCAAAAACACCAGCCGATATCCTTCACTATGCTAGGACAAGATATTTTTACTTTTTACATGAAACTTTTAGATACAAAGTAATTTCAGCCTCACTATTCAACCCTGATATTCCCTTTGGGGGAATTTTTGAACTATTTTGTGAACCTGGTTGGGATCTTTGTGAACCTACCCTTTGGACCATTTGGTGCGATACAGTTCAATACTTCATTCCCATTGCACTAAAGGCACAAACAACCTACAGAATTTTAACACATCCATACAAAGACAAGTTCCTATTTTGGACATTACTTGAGTGGTTCTCTCCAATACCCTGGTGGAGGAAACAACTTAAGGAGATCATAGATCGTCAAAAACTAAAAGGAGTTACTGAAGACTCTCTCAAGAATCTGACATTTATTTTCATCATCCACCGTCCATACTTCCTGAATCCAGCTGGACACCTTTGGTCAAAGAATGAAGCTTATTTATGGGCTAGCTTTGATAACTACCCACTTGATCCTAGTTACCGTGCACAACTGGCGCATCATCTCTGTGAAATAAATCACTATCAGCCAAAGCCGGTAGACCCCAACATTGCCAGTTCATCCCCAAAGACCACCTGACACATATCCAATGAATCAGATCACTCCAGAAGAAGACAAATCTCAAGAGATAAGATTTTTCAAATCACGAGCAGAGATGAACGTCCCTGATGAAGTCTTCCAGAAAGTCGAAGATCTAGCTGACAACATCAACGAAGAACTGATGGAAGAAATGATAATGCACAAAAAGATGTATCCCTACTGGGACCCACTACATGGAAGCATGACAAGGAGTGAAGCCCAACAGATGAACTACTCTGGCTCCACCCGATCTGACTAAAGTAAAGGCTTTAGTTAATGGTTGTCATTATGACATGCTACTAAAGCAAGATTCCCTTAGCTTTACACGTGCCTATTGCGTTTACCGCAAACGTGTTAATGAAGTTAAGATTGAATCAACTTTACTTTCCCACGGAAAGATAAGACATCATTTTCGAATCTTATCTTATCTTTCTACTTTGTCCATATGTATAAAGTGTGAATCATGCTTTGTAAGGACATTATGATGTGTGGGCCATAATTTGAATAATTTACTTCGGATTCCACCTTGTAACATAAGTTTCGGGTCCGAATTTCATTCTAGTTTAGCGAAGCTTTGAATTCCGCGTGTTTACTTTCACTATAAATAGGGATGCTTGTAATGTTGTAAGGGAGGATGAATTGAAGTAAAATCAATACAAGTTCCCTTTCTAAAATGCTCTCTCTCTAAGTTTTCTCTTCTCTGAAAGTTTGAAGCTTATAATTCTTAGTGTCGTTCCCCACTTAGATGCAAGTATGCTCTACACTTGCCTCGAAAGAGGATCCTGTGTATCAGAAAGCTTCCGATCTATGAGACCATTTTATATTAGAGTGCTCTCCTTATAATAAATATGAACTTGAGTGGACTTTTAGCCGAAAGATGGCGTCGTTATGTCCTAGAATGTTCATATCGTCTCAATAAGAATGAGTCTCTGTCCGAAATACACATTTAATATTAATATGAAAGACGTAAGTTTATGTAAAATAAAATAATATGCATCAATCTACATTATACACATGATAAATTGATGCTTAACATGATAAATTCATACTAACATAAATTTACGTTTAATCTATATTAATTAATATAAATTTACATTAAATATTGACCCATATTTTTAATAATAAATAATATTTTAAATATAGGTATTATTAGTAAGTATCATAATATCTTAACAAGAAATTATTGGTTTCTTTCTCACAATTATTTCTTTTGAAATGCCATAATTCACATATATATATATATATATATATATATATATATATATATATATATATATATATATATAATCATTAAGACATCATCTTTTTATACTCCAAACTTTATCAATATAATATCTTTTTCTCCAGAAAATGTTATATATTTTAAAAGTATATATTTTTTAATAATTTCAATAATTTTGTAAAACTTCTATTAATCTATTTATTTCTTCTTAAATAATTTTAAATTTATTGATAATTTTATAAAATTACTAAATTAAGGGTATAAATTTATTGATACTTAATAAGGCTTCAAATAATCATACGCACGTATTTTTCTAGAAAACTTTACATCTCATCTTGGATAATAATAATTTTTTTTAAATAAGATAGGATTTATTTTTTTAAAGATATAATAAAAATGATGATGAACGAAAAAATGAATGAAAAAAAAGATAAAAAAAGAAAAGTAAAATTAATGTATATACATATAGACATATTAGTTTTTAGTATTTATACTTTTGAAAAGAATAAAAATAAATGAAAATTAAAAATTAAAAAAATATTATTTGAAAAAAAAAATGGGGTGAAGAGAAAAATAAGAAAAATTAAAATAATAGTTTGTAGCATTTTACATAGATATATTTGTACTTCTTTTATTTATTTATTTTTCCCTCGTCGCCCTGGCTCCCCCTCGAACTATTCACTCACTCTACCTTCTTCACTCCTCTCTTCCATCAGCCCCTCGGTTCCCCCTCCACTCACACACGCTTCACTCTCGTCCACCAGCCCCTCCTCCCTGCCTTCACCTTCACTGTGCCGCCATCTCTTTCCCTCACAACCATGCCCCCTTTCCCGGCCAGCCACCCATTTGCCGCCTCTCCGCGCCACCCGCAAGCCACCACCAACTATCGCCATGCCTTCGAACTTAACACCCCCCCCCCCCATAGCCCCTGTTCCGACCTCACCCACCACTCGCAGCCACCACCTCCCTTCTCAAATCAGCCCCCGCCCAGCCCAGCCACCCACTCTCTAGCCATCCGCGGCCTGCCCCACCCCCTTCTCGTCCTCACCACTTCACTCTCAGCACTTTCTTTTCCTCACCGTTAGCAGCCACCGCAAGCCCTCCTCTTGGCCACTCGCCACCGCAAGCACCCAAACAACCACCCATCACCCTCAGGCGCGACCACCGTCCACTATCTCACCAAATCGCCCAAAGATTTCTCCTCCAGCCGCGGCCTCACCGCCCCCTCCCCCCTCTCCTTCACCGTGAACCGCGAGACCTAACCCGGCCACGATGGCCTTGGTCACCGTCCACTTTCATGTAATGATTATTGTTTTTCACTTTTGATACATTTGCACATTTTTGCTTTTCAATGATAATAAATAAATTGTTTTAATATCGTGGTAAAAAAGTTAATGCAATATTACTAAAAAAGGTTGTAAAACATATTCTTTTTAGTAGAATTTTTTTTCTCTGGCACACAACAACTTTATCAATATCAATATTAATTAATGTTATTGATTTTAAAATTTGATTATAACAAAATATTTCAGTCACAAAACATTTGATAATTAAAAATACCAAAATTTAAATCGAAATACCTTTTTATTGTGCGATAAGTACTTATGATTCATACACTTTGAAGCAAGTATGGATGGTTTGACATTATAAGAAAACACTCTTTTTCAAAATCGAGTTTGGGCAATTGACATGATAATTTGATATTGGGATCCAGTAAATTATCTGAGTGCCTTATTATTTTAATGGGTAGTTGCGAGTGTGTCGAAGCTGGAAGGTTAATGAGCGGTGAGCGGTGAGCGGTGAGCAAGGGTTAGCAGCCACACCTTCACTCGCAGAGAGGAAGATGAACAAGGTGCTCGCAGTCACTAACTTCCTCGGTTTAATCCTCTCAATCCCAATCATTTGTTACGGCCTATGGCTGAAAAGTGTCACAACCTATTTCTGTGAACAGTTTCAAGTATGGCGCTGGGTCGTCATCGTTGGGACTATCATCTCTGTCGCGGCAATGGCAGGATCCATTGCAGGAATTTTTGGAATCTCGTGGCTCATCAAATTAAACCTCTTTGCCAAAATTTTGCTCATGATACTGCTTCTGTGTCTGCTGATCATTGTTCATATTGTGACCCTTCGAAGTGATGGATCCAATAATATAGACGACTTCTCACTGTACCTTCGCCGAAGGGTAACACGGTCAAGCATCTGGGATCACGTCAGAAGCTGTATCAGCCAATCAGACATGTGTGCTGACCTCAACCGAAGTTACCGAACGGCTCAGGACTTTAGAGCCGCATTTTTAACACCCATGCAGGTAAATTTCCTTTTACATTTACTCTGTACCTCTGCATCTAGTATGAACTTTGTATGCGTGCTTGATTTATACAAATACATGTTATCATCTTAAAAGAACAAAATATTTGGATTGTATTCACTTTTAGTCTCAAAAATACTATTGTTTCACTGTTAGATATGTCTTTTGTTTTTCACAAGAAAGGTGAGTTGTTACACATCCAACCAGAAGTTTTGTTCTATCGTTTTAGAATATTATAAAATGATACTAAATTAAAAAGAAAAAAACACTTCGATTCTGTCTTACTGAATCAAAGAGAAACAGAGTCCCACCATCACGAAGACCACTCTCTGTTCAACGAGCTCTTGACTCAGGAAGTAGTCTGATTGTGATAGATATTGTCTTGAATTGATTTCTGAAGCTGGTACGCTAGATATAAACCAGCCACTACACCCTCTGATCCCTCTGTGAAATTGCATGCTGATGAAGGAACTCTCCTCACAGATTCTTCTTCATAGATTCCTCTTCTTACCGTCGTTTGATTGGAAGGTTAATATATCCTTTTGCTGTCCAGCAACTTAGCCGGTTTGTCTCTTCTCCACGTCAACCTCATATGCAACAAGAGAGAGTTGTTAGATACTTAAAGAATGCTCTGGATCTGGATTAGTATATGCTGCTGATAATTCTTTTAGAGTTCATGCTTACTCTGACTCTTGTGCTATCACTAGAATATCTATCTCTGGTTTCAGTACTTTCCTTGGATCTACTCTCATTTCTTGGAAATCAAAGAAATAAACCACTGTTTCTAAATCTTTCTCTAAAGCTGAATACAGGAGTTTAACTTCTCTAACATGTGAACTCCAATGATTTCACTACCTTTTCAACTATCTACATGTACCTTGCTCCACTCCTTACTCTGTCTATTGTGACAATAGTTCTGCCATCCACATCACTAAGAATCCAACCTTTTATGAAAGAACTAAACATATAGACATAGACTGTCACATTACTAGACAAAAGCTTTAAGATTGTCTCATCAAACTCCTTCATGTCTTTTCTGCCAATCAAGTTGCTGATATTTTTACAAAGTCCTTTTATCCTTCTTCTTTTAACACTATAGTATCCAAGCTAAACATGCTATTCATGTTCACCTTAAGGGAGGGTGATAGAGAGATAAGAGATCTCTTCTGTTAGTTTCAGTCTCAATTTTCCCCTTCTTTCTTTTTGTATATACGTACATAGCTTCCTCAACATAGCTTCCGCAACATCTATTATTCTGTTGTTTTCTTCTCTGTTCAATAATAATGAGATGTTTTCTTTCGAGTATTCTGTCAAACACTATCGGATTGCTTTTTATACTTTTCAGACAAGATAATTTCCAATCATTGTCTCAACCTCCACTGAAACCCATATATGTAATCATCATTGCTGGATCCTCAGCCTCAGCCTTCAATGCAGGAGACGAATAAATGACTGAGGATTCGTAGTAATTGTTTTAGGAACAGTTAGGTTAGGCAGTTTTAGAGAGCAAAGGATAACTTTAAATTCTACCAGTTCAACAGGGTAATTAGAATTTGGAGGGTAGGAGAACGTCTTCACGTCTTCTTCTAAGTCTTCACAAAACGTCTTTCACCTTAGTTGTGACTATTTTTCTTGCTTTCATGATTTGCAGTCGGGGTGCTGCATGCCACCCACGCAATGTAGGTACACGTTTGTCAGCCCAACCAATTGGATTAGCCCGATTGACATGGCAGCTGATATGGATTGCGTGCAATGGAACAACAACCAAACACAACTTTGCTACAACTGTGACTCCTGCAAGATTGGTCTTTTGGCAAATTCCAGGAATGAGTTGATCAGGTGTATTTTGAAATTATTCATTACATTCCTTGTTCTATTAATATTTTTTTTAATTGAGTTATGTGCCTTTATATGTGCCAACACAGACGACCACTCCCTCAGAGACACAGGATGTCGTCCTTTCAGACAGTGCTTGACGTTTCCTGTCTATTAATCTTGGGTGACTTTACTTTTGGAAAAATAGTGAATTTGAATAGATATTTTCCTTTTATTAGATTTTCTAAGTCGTTTAGAAGAGTTGTAGATTTTGTTCTTACATTCTATTCATGTATAAAGGGTTGGTTGGAAAAAAAAAAAATCTAAAATTGAAATTGGGCTTCTTTTCTCTATCTGACTGTCAAAAATTGATATGGAAAACACTTATTTTTTCACTTAGAAGCATTTAATCAAGGAAGTAATATATGCAGTAAAAATGAGTAGCTTACTTTATGCAATTGTCTTTTATACCCTTTCCATTTTCCTTTTATGGGCTTCCCTTGCTTCCAAATAATACTATTACCAGCTAGCACTATTAGTTCTACTTGTTTGTAATCTTATTTTGCTTATTATGCTCCTATCTTTTTGTTGCTGCAGAGCAGTCAGAAATATATATGTTGTCAAGTTTTATTATTCCCATGTATCTATGGTTTTATGTCTCTAACTTTTGCTCGATTGTTGATCCCAATTTTTTATTGTCAAAAATATTTTGAAACATGATAAAACAAGGTTCATTCAGAGTAGCTGGATTATCTCAATGTACAAAAGTATAGTAATTCCAAATTTGAGTTCAGTTTCCTTCCGTCAGTCTAACATAAAGGAACTCATTTTTATTGAGAAAGAAATTTCGGCAATAATGTAGTTTGGAAAATAATACATTCAGGAGCACAAGAGTCAAAGAATGTATGTGCTTAGCGAATCAGATTAAACTGCAAAATATGACGAAACTCTGAAATCAGATAAAGTCAAAGCAAATCTGAACGAAATAAGAAGACCTGATGCAAACAGATTTCAGATAATGAAACCATGGAAACATGAAATTGGTAGATATATATTACCAATTTTCGGTTCATTGAGAGGAAGGGGCACAAATCCCTCAGGCTTAGGAAGACTCGTCAAGTTTCTGAATACAGTATGTGATGAAATGAATAAAGTCGATCTCAAATTAGGAATTATCAGGCATTCAAAGCGTGAAAACAGTGAACTGTTAAACTATGCATAGTAAGCTCGCGTTAATAATTTTTTACCATAACGGACTTGGGTCTTAAATTGAGCCATTTATTCACGTAACTCCATAGTTTGTTTTGCAACTTTATAATTAAATTAAATCTTATCTTACCCCGTACATCTATTTTTATATTTCATGTTTTAAAACCTTTAAATATCTGACGTTTAAATTCTACTAAAACATTTTCATTCTTTCTTCTAATATTTCAAGAATAACAAGAAACAAGATAAGAATCTTCAAATATTTTTAATTTGTATTAATTTTGTACTATGTATAATATTCCTGCAATAATATTTTTGATTAAAAACACATAATATTTTTGGTTGAAAACAATGGGGATTGGGAATACAGTTGTGGGGAGTGAGAACAAAATATCTGAAAACATAATTTGAAAAGTGGGTTTTAGAATACATTAGATTAGTTGGTCTAGAATACACTTCCTGATTGCACATTCTGGAAGTGTATTCTAGACCACCAATCCAAAATATATTTCCGAAAACACAATTCCAGAAATGTATTCTACAACCCACTTTCTAAAAAAAAAATTCTAAAATATATTTTCAGATTGGTTTTTCTAAAAACACATTCCAAACCACTCATTCTGAAATGTATTTCAAATTCATTTTCAGAAAAGTAAATCCGAAAATACATTTGAGATTGAGTGTTGTGAAACTCAACATGACTTTTGCAAAATTATTCCAGATCAAACAATCCGAGTCTCAATATGCAATTTTAATGTAAGAACATGTAATAGATACTTAATATTAATGATTATTCATCTATAAGTATTGGAAATGATCTTAAACCTAGATGATAGCACAAGAAACCAAATTTGTAGATGTGTGAGGTGCATAATTTTCTCTGGAAAATAGAATAAAGAATTAGGATTTGAAACAAAAATTATTAAAATAATATTTTATTTATTTTACTTGGAATATTGAGGTGCATGAAAAAACTATGGTGCTGCAGAATGAAAGTGCCTTATAGTTTGGTTAACTCTTCCCATTTCATGGGTTGGATTTGAAATTGAGCTAAAAGTGTATAGCTTTTGCGTGTGAGTTAAAGCCCAATATATACTTGTTTAGAATCAAGTTTGATTAGGAGAAGTTTAAATTAATTAAATTCAGATACTTAAATAATAAGATAATAAGATTGCTTCACTTAACTTTTAATTTAATTAAATATGTGTATTATTTCTTCAGCGTGATTTTATCATTCAATTTTCGATTCATAAAAGGTATGGTTTATTTCGGGGATATGACTGAAGAATGTAGTATATTCAATTTAGCTTTATAATATAGTTTTAATTTTATTTTATCCTTAAATTTTTAAAAATTTTCTAAGAAATCAAAATTATATAAACACGTAGCATAGTGTGTTTCAAAATAAATATATATATATATATATATATATATATATATATATATAATTTTCACATTTTATATTTCTATATATTCATCATACAAGTCAATGATGTATAGGAAGTAGGTAAGAAATCAAGTGTCAAATATTTCTATTTATAAGTTATATTTTGTATTATCCTATATTAATATTCATAATATAGATATTTGATTTTTTTTTAAAGATACCTATATTGAATTAGATTGGGATATCCATTTGTCATATTATCTTTCTTAAAAAAAAATATTTAACATAAATACATAATTAAGTATCATTAAAGTCATAATATCTTATTCAAAATCTCAAATTTAATATGTCCTCAACATTTCAACATAATTTTTCCTCCTCCTTATTATTATGTTTAGTTTCTCAACAAGCCATGTATATAAATATATCTAATCCACATAAATCAATCTAATGTTATTCATACACACAATTATTTATACCATTTAAATATATATGAATACATAACAACCTAAACCACCATATTATATCATTTACACACACATATTGCCATGGATTTTGACTTTAGAGTACTGATTTCGAATAAGTCAAAATTTAGTTTATATTTTTCTCTTTTTTTTTTGGAGTGTTTTTCGCTTCAACAAAGTATTGTTGTTTGAGTTTGATATCTCTTCCCTTTAACGGTTAGTATATTGCTTGAGTGAGAATACTACATAGCCACATCTCATTACAAGCGAAAATGAGCTCGAGAATATCTTTTAATTCTATAAATCTTTATGCTGAAGTAAGAAATTCTTACTTAAATGAAAATAAGACTAAAATAATTCTATTTCATCTAATACTCTCGTCTTTTAGTGACCAAACAATCGCTTGGGCGAAAAAACTCAAAAGAAAAGTTCTAACATTTCTTGCAATATTTATTTGACCGACAAGTTATTTCTTAAGCAAAAATTATAAATATTTAAACTTTGCATAATTATTTGAGAACCACAATTCATTTCCCATACAATTGATCTACATCACTACTATGAACTACTATTAATATAATACAATTTACTTCTAATTTACTCATTTCCATCTACCTAATGCATGTTAAATTTTGTTGACACAAACACACATCAATTAATTTTATCAAACACCAAAACATATTAGAGTTACAAAATACTCAACAAATTTTAATCTAATTTCTTGTAAATAATTACTAATAACCAAATCATTTTATTATATCAAGGTATTCAATAATAATGTATTATGATGAAGGTAGTTTGTACTAGTTTCCCTTATTTTGTATCAAGTTTCTCTAAAAAATTTTTTTTTCTAATTTCCAAAAACTAATAAGATATATAAACTTTTCTCACAAAAGACTTTTACTAATCAATCAAGCATATTACTAAAATCTTAAACTAGTCAATATTCATCTTTATTTAAAAATTATTATTATTGGCAATCCCACTACATACCACCAAAAATTCCAATATACAAACATTTAAAAAAAAAATAAAAAGAAAATTATCTATTTCCAAATTATGACGAAGGTCTTCCTCTCTTCATCAAAAGTACTATAACAAAATTTTGAGAAATGGATGTGTAATCTTACAGAAAAAGTAAACAACTTTGAAAATTTTAAAAAAAGTTTTTTACATGTAAGTTTAAATATTTTAAATTTATATATATAATTATTTTAAGTAAAAAAAATATATTTAAAATTTTCTAAATCATTATTTATTATTATTATTATTATTTTTGAAATATAAAGAGAATGTCGTAGTTTCGTTTATACAATTTTTATAATTAACAACCTGTTTACTTGATTTGAACTTATATTATTTGTTAGAATGATTGTGTTAATTATAAATGAAAAATGATAAAATCTTTCTAAAACGTGGTAATATTTTTAAGTCTTAAAGACATAAAGATCCTATAAATTTACTTGCAAAATAATGTATAGCGTTTAGAAATATTCTTGCACACACCTAAAATAATATACATATATATTTTCATATGTTATAAAGTAATTTTGCACCTACATATTTGTATCTGTTACAGAATAATTTTAGCTAGCATGAAATTATAAAATGAGATACAAAGAATTATATATATATATATATATATATATATATATATATATATATATATATATATATATATATAAAGGAATTAGGTTAAACATTATAATTACAGTTCCAATCAAATAGATAAGGAATTTAGGTTAAACTAATTATTAGAAAATAATTATTTTTTAATAAAATATTTTTCAACACTTTCTTAATACATTACAATTCACACACCTTTATCATGTAATTTCATACCACTTTCATCCATCACATTAAATTACACAATTTCTAAAAACCTTAATATCAAATTTTAAACTCAAAGACTAACACTTGTATATCATATTTGTAGTTCACTTACTATAATAAAATTCTAATCTCAATAGATAATTTTATATTGCAATAAAATAAAATTTCTGATAATATTATTCTATTGTTGGTACATATAGATCTCAAAATATATTATTAACAATCTTCTTAAATCTTATTTGAGTTTCAACCTATTCCTTAAGTGAAACATCATTGAATGACTCA